CTTGCTAAAACACTGCAGCGTTCATGCCATGACAGCGGTAGTGGTAGCTGTGTGGTGAAGGTCACCAAATAACCGGAGTGGGACGTGCTGTCGAATCCCCTCACCACCGCCTAACTTTCCTCATTTGGTGTTGTACGGCAGCCACTGACTGGCAGCATGTCGCTTTATTAAAATTTTATGATTATATATTCAATAAAAGGATGTGAATTGAAAAGGAAAGAACTCGCAGAGGAACATAAGTCACACCAGGATGTTTAATGAGAAACATTGTTCACTCTCGGTGGTTTAGTAACGGCTTTAATTTGTACTATAATGGAAATTTTGTGAGAACAGTTCAGTTTTTACAACCGTTAGCCATGCATATTCATGCGCAGAATTTGGCTGTTATCTTTTGGCTGGCCATTTGAATAAAAGGGCAGAATGAAGATTGATTGCAATGTTGAGAGCAGAGTCAAATCAAAATCATGATCTCCGGGTCCCCATATAGGGAGTCTACCACGACCTATGTCACCGAGTCTCTTGGTGAGGGTTTTCATACCCTCTTGCCCTTATTGGACCACCTTTGACATTTCCGCAATAACTAACTGCTTCGACAAACATTGCGCATCATGGCAACCTATTTGGTGGCATGCGCAACACATGACCTAACCACCGTAGTCTATGGAGGTCAACCACATGCTCCAGTGGACAACCGCGAAAACCTAAAACTATGTATTGCTTGTCCGGTTTCCCGACCAGACTTGTGCAATGTGGCGTAGCCGGTGTTCGAACGCAGACAGTCTATTTTAATCCTGTTCCCGTAATCTAAACTGTAAAGCAGAACTGGCCGAACCGCTGCAGCATACACTCGACCATTTACAGACAGCCGCATGTCACGACGGCGCCACAGATATCTCAATTTAACAAATGTCAACCGAGCATTTTGTATGCGTGCCGACACTCCACTTGTGATGCGTCCGCCAGGTGTGGACAATTGCATTTGAACTTCAGTTACTGAGAACGGAATTCTAATAAATGTGGAATCAGAATTCAGTATTTGACTAACTCCAAGTGCCTCTGAAAAAGCGACAGTTCCGAAGCCACATGCATAAAACTTTTCCTGATTATATCGTCAGACAAAACCACCAAATATAGCCGAGATCTATGGAAAAGGAGAGCATTTGAAGCTGCAAAATGCAATGGAAACGCGCAGTTTGCTTTTGTTTGGGAGAGAACATATACAGAAAAGGAACTGTACTATCTTAAGATGGATTTGAGAAACTATCATTTTGAATTGAGGAAAAAACGACGTGGTCGGATCCGCTTCCATCCAGGTCAATTGGTCACACGTTTTCTGCCCCAAGATTGATAACCCGTCTTCCCACGCTCTTTTTGTGTTGAAATGAGGCATACCCCAGTCTTGCAACGCGTCGGTGATTGAACTGTCGTCTCAGCAACTATGTTGATCACGCATGCATCGCTTGGAGTACAACGTAAGCACAAAACTCGTCCCTGGTCGTAGCTACTATAGTGATACTTGGTAATTGAGCTATCGTCAATGTCCGAGCAGCTACACCAGCTGTGCTTTAGCTGTAACGCGCACGACACATTGCGTCACCTTCCGTGCTTATCGATTCGGGTTTAACTTAGCTATCTCGCGTAAATCGCACGCCTCACCGACCCACTAAATCGACGTCCGTCAGTGAGCTCGACAAGGCGCACACAATAGAGCGTGGGAAGACAGGTGATCAATTATGGGGTAGAAAAACGTGTGATCAATTGACCAAATGAGGTGCCCTGAACGGAGGTGGATCCAACGACAGCGTTTCTTTTTCACCTCGAAGGGACGGTTTCGCAAATCAAAGTGACAGTTTTTCAATCTTAAATTGGTATAGCTGTATACAGAAAACAAGGCAAACAAATACAATCGAGTGTTTTACGAAAACGTATACCTAATATCTTATTCAAAAAGCG